TTTTACATGATCTTGCTAAAAGGGCATTCAATACTACTAATTGTTTATGACACTTAAGCATATCTAAAGCCTTTTTTACATGAGTTGATGTCTTGGAAACTGGCCAAGTTATTCAATCCCAATCACAAAAACGCTACATCATTTACACATAATAGGTTTATGAACCTTGTTATGACCCATAAATACAAACCAACATGTTTATGAAAGACTACAAACACCCAACAAGAAAGGCAACAGAAACATAATTCAAAAACGAAAGTCAAATAAAACAAAGAACTACATATGGCAAGATTGAAGATCCTAACCTTTGCAACAGCAGCCTGCGTAGACCGGACTGGTCTAGACTTCTGAGACAAGCCCCTGGGCATACGCGGGATTCCATCGTAGAAATCATCCGGACTGGTACCAACATCAGCGGCCGGCGCCGCATCCCAATTACGAAACGGAAGGGTCTCCTGGAATTGCGTAGCGTCCGGCGGCTGCTTCTCCATGCTATCCTTCACCTTCGGCAGAGTCAAACTGATCTGCTCATTTGGTTGGTAACCTGAACCCGCCGCCTTGCGATCGTTACCATGCCCATTCGTGCTGTGATACGCAAAACCTTGACTGGAACTTTTCGAGCAAAACCCTCCCATTCTACAGCAAAAGAAACTGAGACCAAACCAAAGAAACCCAAAATTCAAACCAGGCAGAAACTTCTAATTACCCGGGGAAAATAATAATACGAAGAGTCGAGAAGTCGGTGGATTAGACGCGGAGAGAATTTCAATAAGAAGCAGAGGAAGAGAGAAACGGCCGGGATGTAGGAGATGGAAGAAGGCCAAAGTCTTCTTCCCAGCTGGAATCCCGCGCCAAGAATATGATCAATATTAATAAATAAAGCAGTAATAAAATTAAAAACAATGTGATGAATAGTAATAAATAATATGAAGAAGAAGAACAAGAAGAAGAAACCAAGTAGGTGCATGTCTTCAAGACGAAAGGCTGAATGGGAAGTAAACGTCTGCTTCCAGACTACCGGCTTGGACTTTGCGGGGGGAACCAGTCAATCTTTCAAATTTCAACCCATTGAGAAGTTGACTGCCCCCCTTATTCAAGACTATTTATAGCCTAAAATACTTAAAATATCACTTTCTGCCATACTATGTACTTTTCTTTCAAATAAGCTCTCAAACTTTTTAAAAAAAAATTAAAGCTATAATTTGAAAAGAATTTGGAAGTACAAAATAAATATTTTATATAGATGAGAAACTCTTAGTAAAAGAAATGATATTGAAATATTTGAAATATCTTTAATAATTTCGAATACAGAGAAAGAAAGAAATATGAAAACAAATAAGTGACTGGTTTAAAATGAAAAGAACTCGTGTAATTAAAATAATTTTTTATTATGATTACTAAATGAAAAACTCGTACTAAACAAAAAGAAATAAATAATACGTTAAAAACATTACGATTTTATCTAAATCATCTTTTATCACTAACGATATATCTAATATTATTAAACAAATATTTAACTGATATAAAATTTATCAATATGAATATAAAAATATTGCTAGTGTGGCAACCATGCGATTATCACACAATCAACTATTTTTTTTTTAATATTTAAGAAATCATAAATTAAATATGAATTTGTAAGTCAATAAAAATACATAAAAATAAATAAAAATCTCCAAAGATAATGCTGGGCCGGCAAGAACGAGAAGAATGATCAAAACATCAACAGCATTTCTGAGCCGAGGCATGCCCCTTTAAAAAACATCTGTTTGCACGAGGTGCAAGCTTCTGACGTAGCTGAGCAGGTATATAAGCATAGCAGAAAATCAGTCTAATACTTTCATAATTTGGTGGCAATCCAAACAGGCACTGATATGAAGTAATGTCGCCAAGCACAGAGGAAGTCGGAGTAAAGATGACATAGCTTTGGCGATCATCACAAAGTTGTCCAACCGAAAAAAGATTTTGAGAGACTGACTTTGACTTTAGGAACCAACATAGCATCATTGAGATGAAGAACTTTAATATTTTTTAACTTTTGTTTAAATATAACCACACAGTTTAATAACACTTGAATACACAAAGTTGTAAAAAAATAAAATAGTAATGACATTACAAGTCATACGGTTACCAATATTAACAGTTATTTTAAAACTTGATATTCATGTGACGGACATTTGTTTAAAAACTTTAGATACGTTGTTAATGATAAATATCTACTCGGACAAAATTTAAAAGTATTTGTTGTATTTGAACTGAAAAAATTATAAAAATTGATTTAATTTTTTTAAAATAGTAAAAGAGCTTTTTAATATTTTATTATTAAACAAAAAGAATATCTTATGATATTGTTAGTTTTTATGTATTAAAAGACAAGTAGAATTTGAAGAAAGAAAAAAAAAAGCAATTCAATATTCCATGTAAAAAAATTAGTTCTTATAGTTTTTTTTTGTTTTAATGAACCAAAATGAGGTAAATAATTTAGAGAAAGTAATTGGTCAATATATATGCCACAAATAAGCATGTAAGAGAGCTCGATGCACCCACTTTCCTTAAAATTTTATAGCTACTTGAAGAATGAGACTACCTGATTTAAAGTAAGCATTGAATTAATAAAACAATAGATATTCAACATAACCAATAAGGAAATAAATGGAGGAACACAAAACTTATAACAACAACAAATGAGAGGAGGAAGTATCTAAAACATTTTAGAGAAAGGCACATCGCCACCCTGCATCTTATGACCCAGAGAATTAACATAGAGTAAATTTTGCACTTCGTGAAAAAATGAAATAAATTTATAAATTAGAAAACTATATCTCTATTTGATAAGAGATCATAAATAAATTTAACAAACATGAAACTAATCCAAATATCTTAACCCAATGGACTAACGTAGATGGATGCCCCAACATATCCTTAAAATTTGAGTTCGTACACATATTTATTATTATTATGAAAAAAATGATAATATTCAATAGATAAGAAAAATAATAACATTTAATTTGGTTATATAAGAGTTCATCTTATAACTACAACTTTGTTGATAACGTATATTTCTTCAAGTATTGAGTTATTATCTTATCTGTCAATAGTTCTTGAAGTTGGAGAATAAGTTGTGAATATCTTGGTTAATATACCGAGCCAAAAGTCTTGTTAAGAGCTCCTGATAGTTAGAGATAAATTTGAAAGTCGATGATATAGGTAAATACATATTTAATCAATGCAAATAATAACCAAGTGATAAACATTTAATATTTATATTGTCAATACTAAATCAAGAATCTTTAGCCTATAAGAATATAACAAGCCATGGGCATCCAAGCTTTATGATGTTGGGTGGTGAAATCACGAATGGTAATTATACTAAAAGAATTTTTTTTAGTAGCAAATGTATTTATCAGTGCAATGCATTAGTAATATAATTTTAAACCAATAAAAAAATAATGTAATAGTCTTATTATATTAATCTTGATAAAAAACAATGTTTTATTATGAGTTATTCAACTTTATATGAATGAATTATTTAAATATTTATAGTTTAGCATGATAAAAGTTCATTGAATGTTTAAAAGAAATTAAAATTATAATAGAGATAACAATAATAGAAACCTAATTTTATGATTCATAAATATTTGCAATTATAGGATCACAGACACAATATATTTATGTTCCAATTTATATTCATATACAATATGTTATTTTTTAAACTATCTTATTAGTTATTAATATTATTAGTATAATAATACGTAACTTCTCATTAAAAAGAGTTTACTAAACTAATTCATATAAATTTATTATATCAAAGATTATTTTTCTTGTTAAATAAATTATTTAAGAATATGATTATAAGATATTATATATTTTTTATTAAAAATTAAAAATTATTAATAATTATCTAAGTTACACCCTATAATATAAATTATAAGAAGTGGTAATATAATAAATACACATAAAAATAAGTTTAATAATTACTGTCAAGTGATAATTTTTTATACACAACCAATGCACGATTAAACTAGGTAATTGAATAATTCTACATAATTATTATTGTACAAACTTTTAGTTGACAAGTAATAAAAATTCAATGTAATAATATACTTAAATAAATTTATTTATATAAATAAATATTTTCATAATTGTTATAATGTGATCACGTGAATTTAAAAAAAATAAATTTTTTTTTTTTATAAAAAATATCATTACTTTATCGGGATTTAAATGTTATTTTATAGTCAAATTTTTTTATAAATGATATTTATAAAAATTATCATTTCATATATTTTATTTATTTATTAATTCAACATTCACGTGTAACTCGTGATGAAAAAAAAAAACTAAATTCTCTATTATTATAAAAATAAAAATTATGTAATTATTTGGAGGACACCTTAACAATTATTTATATATTATTATCAAACATAAAAATAATATTAAATTGAACATAGAAATATACGGAAAAGACTGTCATCTACCGTAAATTTACTGGATTTGGCTTAATTCACGTTTCGTGAGTTGGATAAAGAAAAATAGGAAAACGCAAATTCACGTTTCATTTGAAGCAAAAATTCAGTTAATGTTTAGTTCTTCAAGATTAATGATTAGAAACTGAATCATTGGGAAAGCATCAGATACCCTGCAGGAGCCATCGAAGATTCAAAGATGCGGGAGGAGAGGAGGAGGGAGGACTGGTAGGTAGCTCTGGAATTACTCTCTGTCCAGAAACAATAGAAACTCGGAAGATATACATACAATGATAGCTAATCAATAATCAGTGTACCAAAATCCGGAAGAGCAAAAAGTATAGCCTGGTATTGGCTCAATAACCAGAATCACTCCATGAACTTTTCCGGTCTTAGGGTTGTGGCGCAACACCTATGAGTCGCTTTTAATCTCCTCTTCTCGTGTTGAGCAAAGCAGATTGTAATAGCACATGTATGTATGTACATATCTATGTATAGATGTATTCGAGTAATCTCAAGGGCTTCATTCTGGCCGTTGTCTCAAGCGCCTTCATAGGTTCCAGTTTTATTATCAAGAAGAAGGGCCTCCGCAAGGCTGGGGTCAACGGCCCTCGTGCCGGTAAGTTTGCATTCCTATACAAGTCAAGGTCTTCTGAGATTGGATATAGTTTTGTGTTTAATCTTTTTTGTTGACGTTACTTGATTTCAATTACTTGTGATTTTTAAGGTTCTGGAGGATATGGGTATTTGTTGGAGCCTCTTTGGTGGGTCGGCATGGTTACTAGTAAGTTAATCCTTCACTGATTTCTGCATTAGTCTGCGTTTTGTTTATTTGCTTGCTTTTCTTTTTGGTTCTTTTTTGTAGGCTTTACGTTTTATTGCTGAGGGTTATGTTTTAGTGAAGGTAATTGGATGCTGGATTGAAAGAATTAGGTCAAATTAGGCTTAGCAGTTGTGTTGAGTTTGACTTAATCCTCATTATCTTCCTTTACTCAGTTTATAGAATGTGAGAAGATGAGATCTTACCGATACATCCAAGAAAATTAATCTATTAAATTGGCTGATTTTTAGTTGGCATGTTGTTTTCTGAAATTTGTGGCCTCTTGACAGTGATTGTAGGAGAGATTGCCAATTTTATAGCATACATTTATGCACCTGCTGTGCTTGTGACTCCACTTGGTGCATTGAGTATCATTGTGAGGTAATGCTCTGATTGTTGTTTCTTGTTGACATGTTGGCACTAACCTGTCATGGTTTCTCATGAATTATGAACTTTGCGTGGAAATTAGCAGTGCTATTTTAGCACATTTCTTGCTGAAGGAGAAACTGCAAAAGATGGGCATGTTGGGGTGCCTTCTGTGCATAGTGGGTTCTACGATTATTGTGCTTCATGCACCCGAAGAGCGAAGCATTAATTCAGTAGAAGAAATTTGGGAATTAGCTACTCAACCAGGTATGCTTGTCCTGTTTTCAAGTTATCTTTTACTCATCCTGTTTTTTTTGTTTGGAGCAATCCAAATGATTGGCTTTCATGTCTTCCTATGGCAGCATTTCTTTTGTATACAGGGTCAGTGCTAGCTGTAGCACTGGCACTGATCTTATACTGTGCTCCACGCTATGGTCAGACCAACATAATGGTTTATATAGGATTATGCTCCATAATTGGATCGTTGACAGTAAGTTACCATTAGTAGTTAATTCCTCAGTATGATTTAGCATGCCCATCATTTTTGGTTTGTTCCAAATGATAAAATGGTTTTGTAGTTTCTGGTTTACTCCAATTTGGGCTCATAATTAGGATCTACTCATTCTAAAAGACATTCTTTCATTAATTTCTTATTACTGAAGGTTAATTGTTTTGCAGGTGATGAGTGTAAAAGCTATTGGGATTGCAATAAAATTGACTTTAGAGGGCATAAACCAGGCCAAATATTTCCAAACATGGGTTTTTGCGATGGTTGCAATTACTTGTATCATCACTCAGTTGAATTATCTAAACATGGTAAGTCTTATCATAGAATTATTTTGTAGAGTTGGAAGAATTTCAGCATAATTTTATAGCAAGAAGCGAAGTAGCAGTATCATTAGTGTAGTTAAATGAATAGCGGTAGGATGTGATTCTTAGAAGAATAAATGAACAATAATTTCATGCATTTACAATTTTCTCTAAAAACTACATGTAAAGTACAGTTTAATATCATGTGGTTTAGGGTTCTTTAAATTCAATACATATAGTTTATTTTTAACCACTTAAGTACTCGTGGTTTAACCGTGAGTAAGTTAAATAGTACTGTTAGTTCGTTTGGTATGTGGATGCTCAGAATTTTGAAAAGCTTGACATATATGCGGCCCAAATGAGACTTTCTAACCGGTTTTTTTAAAACCCAGAAAGTCTTATGGAA